TTTGGTTGGTGAGATTGAACAGTTATTCTGTTTTTAAGGTTGTCATTGCACAGACTCAGTAACTTCTAGTCAGAAGGGATTTAGATTTGTTTATTTCCTTTTATGTGCTGTGTTTTCATGTTCTCTCTCGTTTATCTGTTGCCAGACACTTCTTACCAACACTCTACTGTTTTTTTCTTGGCTTCCTGCTTGGTTCAAAGAACCCAAAAGGTCAGTTTGCCAGCCCTCAGCATAAGCACCATTTTTTATGATCCATCAATTTGCAATTTAATGCTGCTGGAGTTTCCCCTCCCTAAGCTGACTTTGGGCACGATGCCGGTGGATTGCTTTGAGATCCTGGGCAATTACTCTTGAGCAGTCCTCACCCTATTTCGAGTTTCAGACACTCATTATGCAGTGCTCTGAGTGTAGTGAGGAAGTGTGCGAGCGTTGAGGAGTGGGCTCTTCAGTCCTGTAATTAGACAAGGTGTGAGAAGTATGAAGAGGTGCTGAGCAAGCTTTTAGGAATTGTAGAATCCTAAAACTCAAGTTCAGATGCTCAGAAGAGCACATCTTTAGTTTCAAAGCCCTGCAGAATAGACCAGGATTTGATTCATTGCTGGTCTTTGAGGTATTTGGCTATATTTTAGCTCAGTTAAAATATTACATGTACATGAATCTTAAACCTATAACATGTGATTTCATTTTGTAAACAGAGCCTTACTCTCTGTTTAGTAATGGTTTATCCTGTTGCATCTTGGTCATTGCATTTAGGGTGCACAGAGATTCTGTTTTAGTTCAGTGACGCATGACTTTGAAAGTATGTTGGATGTGTACTCTGGGATCAGTTTTAGTGGGGGAGGTATGGTGAAGAAATATATCGGAGTACTTAGTAGGAGTCTTGTTCTTATAATGCTTCCCATCTTGTTGTATTGAGATTTTTATGCAGGAAGGTGTTAGTAAACTGTATGGAAGCTTTCTATAACGTGATTTTTAAGAACTTAAGTTTAGTTTACCAAATGACGGTGAGTGCTGCGGAGGATCTTGAAGGGCCTAGAGAGGTGTGTTTATTGGTGTTACGGAGGAAAGGCAGCTTCTAAGTGGATTTGAGGTAGACTTTGCAGGATTGGGAAGATCTCTTACGTTTGGATAGCACTTTGGAATAAAATTCATTTGATTGTAGTGAAACTCTGCAGTAGACTGGTGATATTCCTGTTCTTCAGATTATAGACCTGGGACATAGCAGTTGAAATGACTTGACTTTGGGACATCTAGTACTAGTTTACTGAGATGCAAACCCAAGTTTTTGGATTATGAAACTTAACTCTTATCACATGCGTATTATCAGTGAGAGGAGTTGGCTTGGAGAAGGACAATAAAAGATTGTTCCAGACAGGACTCCTGCTTCCTGCTGCTTCTCTGGGTGGTGGCTGATAATAAGTAAGGCTTGAGGCTGGGGCCCTTAGCCAGCTGCTTAAATTTCCAGGTGGGAGGGTTCCATGCAGATTTGGTTTGGGGATAGCTCTTGAATGCTAATTTATTGTTGTTGCCTTGTTAGACAATGTCAAAAATACGGACACAGGAAAGTTTATTTGTAAACATGATGACTTAGCAGGTGCCAAATATGTCTTGAGCTTTGGGAGGAAAATGATTTCTAGGTGGAAAATAGTTTAGACTTTGGAAGAGGTGAATGGAAGTCCAAAAAGGTTACAGAACTCTTAATACTGACTTAAGGAGGGTCAAATGTCCAGGCAAACCTGCTAGCAGATCCTGTGATCAGGAGTAGAAACATGAGTGGAAAAAACACTAGTGCTTGTTAATTTGTGCGAAGTTAAGAATCTTATCAGAATACCGTGTTGAAGCAAGAGTTAATACTAAGAATTACTGTCTTAATACTACTGCCATCCAAGCTGTTTTATGGAATGGGGCAAACATTTACGAAATCCTCCTGTGATGTTTTCGAAGTCACAAAGCATGTCAGATGAACTGCATCTTCACGCTGCCGGGAAGTAGGTTTCTCTCATTTATGTTGTACAGGTGGAGGAGCCAGGGCAGCTCAGAATATCAGTGCCATGTCCAGGGTAAACCAGCTTGTAAGTAGAAGAGGCAAGACTGGAATTTAGGTTTTCTGGCTCAAAAATGAAGCTCACTTGTCAGGATAGTTTAAGATTAGAGTTTAGAGACCTGGCAGAGGGAAGAGACAGCTTAGGTAAGATCCTCCTCCTTTTGCTCTTCTTTCTTTCTTTCTTCTCTAGACTGTGTTTATTTAGAATTTTTGGGATGTGTGGCATGGGTTTTGATGTTTTCTTATCAGTTTGAGTTTTGAGCTTTAACTTTTTTCCTCCCGTTCCAGTCTTAACCTTGTCTAATCCAAATTATGTTGGTTTTTGCTTTAATCTGTACTTCATTTATTTTGTTTCTGGTAACTTTGTTATCAAAGGTTTACAAGTTCATTCTATTCAGACTGGGTTTTAACTGTCCTCTGACTATGTTCATTCTACCTTGAAGCCATTCTATGTAATAACACATAATTACTATTATTAATTAAAGGTGAGTACGTCTTTTCTTCTTAAACCAAAATGAGTTCCAGCTAGATCTAGTAATTAAGTATAAAAGTTTCAGCCATAGCAGCACTAGAAAAAAATAAAATGTGGCTTTTATAATCTTGGTGTGTTCTAATCCTTACCCAAGGGCCAGGAGCATATGGAGAAAGTTCTTTATTTTGACCACATCAAAACTTAAAATTCTACACAGCAAAAAAATCCATATTAAGCAAGGTTGAAGAGCAAGTGACAAGTTGGGCAAACTATGACAAAGGGTTAAGCAGGTGAAGAACTGCTACAAAAAGACAATAATGATTTGTCTCAGGTGAAGAACTGCTACAAAAAGACAATAATGATTAAACACAATGGAGGAATGGAGAAAGGAAAAATACAACGGACCAGTAAATATATGAAAAAATATTTAACTTCAGGAAGAATCCAAGTAATGCAAATAAAAATGAGGTCATTTTAAAATCTATTAGATGGATAAAGATTTTAAAAAGATCAACAAAACCCAGTATTGACACTGGGTGGGTGAGCAAGCACCCTCATAGACTGGCAGTAATGTGCGTTGGTGCAGCCTTTCTGCTAGGCAGTTGGGCAGCATGCATTAGAACTGAAAATATGCATCCACTTTGACCGAGCAGTTTCACTTGTAGGAATTATTTTTAGAGATCTGTGGGGAAGGTTATTTGATACAGTTTGTAATTGTGGAAAATTAGATGAAACAAATATCCACTGGTATCAGGAGTGCTTAAACACTGGTATGCTTGTATAGTGGAATATGTCAATGATGTGCTTATTAATATCTGTATTTATTGACTGGGAGGGTGTCAATAACACATTTTTGAGTGGAAAACAAGTTCTAGAAAGGCACTGTTTATGAGACTTCTTGGTATTAAAGTGCTTCTGCACATATAGTGAGAACCTGTAATGATGGCATCCTAGAATCACCAAAATGTTACCCACACTTACCGTGGATGATGAATGTAGGGTTGTTTTAACTTTCTTTTATATTTATCTCTATACATCTGTGTGCATGTGTGTGTGCTCAAAGTGAGCATGTATCATTTTTCAAATTGGAAAACCTCAGAATGGCATGGGGACTGGTAGGTAGGGAGTGGGGAGCAAAGACTGTAGGAGTCCACGAAGGGCATTCCTAGTCCTTGACCTGCACCCAAATATATAGTGCAGGCCCTTCTTGCAAAGGAAAGGGAAGCCTGCCCATGCTTTCGAGGAGAGCCATGACCTTGAGTTAGCTTGAGTGGGTGGCTGTGATCAAATGTACCGGGTGGGGCTGACCCAGTTCTGTTTTTGCACCTGCTACAGCTGCACCCTTTTTGCATATATCTGTTTGTCCCACTGGCTAAAGCAAGGTCATAGAGTTTGCTCTCTATATCAGTATTTTCCCCTTCTAGTGCATTTCTTCCATGGCATGGTCTGTAACCCTATCTCATTGTTGGTCAGGGAGAATTGGGTTGGGTTGCCATAAATTCAGTCCCATAAAACCAAAGAACCTTCCTGCTCAGTTAACTGGAATCATCTTAGAGGATAAAATGTGGCTCTTTTTTAATATACTTGATTGTAAAGTTCCTTTATCTTATTCCATTCTCTGTTTCTCAAGGGCATGAGCTGCATGCTTTATAATTTTCTTCTTGTGATCCTTTTCATTGCCTAATTCAGTAATAGAGATGGCATTTAGTATGCAGTGACGGAAAATGATGAAATAAATAAGGTCAATACTGGGTCTCTTTACACATGACTTTTTTTTTGTTTTTGAGAACAGAAGTTAGAGGAAAGCTGCTTTGCATTGCTGTCGGGTGTTGCAGGTGGCGGGTGGATCTTGCCCTAGCCTTGAAGCGGGGTGCCCTCCTTTCCCTCCCTTGCTGGTGTGTTTGTCCCTTGTAGCAGGGGGACTGCGTGGAGCTGAGCAGGGACTATTCCTGCTTCCTTTAGAACAGCCCATGGCGCAGACACTCAGGACACACTGTGATGTTCAGCTAAACCACAGGCACTGTCTGTGTGCTGCCCTCACATGGGCCTCACCTTTGAAAGGTAGACTGCTTCAACGGCACAGTTGCTCTAGCGCCTTCTGACGCCAGCTTGAACAAACTTGCAGTGATTCCATAAGTTCATCATGGTGTGCTATTGTCGAAAAAGTGTGTTAAGAGCCTTGCACACCAGATTAAATGATCGTGCTCCTGTAGCCTTAAACCACGTAGATTTTCCAACTCAGTTAAATAACTCATTATCTCTTATTAAGTGACCAATAAAGCATGCGGTTGTGTCTTTCTTTGCAAGTTGGATTAGTATCTACTGTTTATCTCAAGATAAATATTAGTAACATAACCTGGGCAAACAGTTTTATGCCTTCCAGAGTGTGGTGGAGGAAGACTAAAGTGTTGGAGGTATGAAGTTTTTACCTTTCTGAACTGATTGTGAAGTATTCTAAACATTTGTATGGCTTTGTCTTTATAGACTGAAATCGCCAAGAGACTGAATACGATTTGTGCACAAGTCATCCCATTTCTGTCTCAGGAAGTAAGTAAAACTGTTCAGCTGTTAAAGTGCAATTATGTTGCTTCTCTGTTTGCAAATTAGCTGGTTTTAAGATGTTAATTTTATCACAAGGAACAAGTGTGAAGAACATCTGTTACAGCTGAAGTGTGTAAACCCCCTGCTAGACTATCTTAACACATCTGAGGGCACACTGTAGAAGGGGTGACAGTAGCTCACCCCCAAATTAATTTTTTTCTGTGGAAAACTGCAAAGTGACTATCAAACATAAAGTTTTTGTTTTCTTTGGGTAGTATAAGCTTGATAGCTACTGATGATTCAGGTGTCCTTTGTATCTTTTAAATAGAGAACTTTTCTTGTACTGACTTTTAAAATGGTTCCATCAGGGTTGACTTTACCATGGAAGCAGATACTTCATTTGTGTTTGTGTATCAAGTCGGTTGACTGAATGCTGTCCTCGGAAGAAGTGGATGAGTTATCAGGATGAAATAGTATTCACATTATGTTAATTTCATGTCACATAGATATGTAAGCTATTTTATTTACTTACAAAGTCATAGAAGTTTAGCCTTAATATTTTGAGGGGAAAAGCTCTTTATATGAGTAATCTATGAAATTGACTCAAGACCATTATATTTTAGTTTTGCCTTGAAAAGTTTACCTTCCTTTTGGATACAAGCTAACGAATGCCATGATGTGTTTTAAGTGCCTTCAGGATGAATGTATCTGGAGGCAGACTGTATAGTTTATTGGACTGGGAGTCAGAATCCTGGGTGTCTGTTCTCGTGGGCAGCTACTGCTCCATACTAGACAGCCACCATCTCTGCTGTTGTTTTAGCAGCCTCTTCCAAGCACAACATTTGTGAGATGTTACAGTTTTCATTTGTTGGCCTTTTGAATCTAGTTGTTAGACATTGGTGATCCTGGTCTTTCTGCTACCTACAGTCTCATGCCTCCCAAAGCAAACTTATGAGTTCGTTTTTATTTCTGGGTGGACTTGAGAGGTGTACAGGGTGAGTTTCTGTCGTCTGAACTGAGGGTTCCTTTTCCCTGTGGAGGGTGAAAAATTAAAAGGGTAAAAGAACAAAAGAAATTCCTAGGGTTTCCAAAAACTACTGGTAGATTGAGATTTGTTGATCAGAGATGTGATCGCAGATTTAAATTTTAAGTATTGAAACAGGTGTTTTAAAATTGCAGTAAACTTCTGCCCAAACTTACCAGAAACCACTTCTTTGAATTTGGGTCATCTTCCAGATTCTGTTCTATTTATTTTCTGAGGCCTCAAGTTATCATTCTTAATGTCCTTTTTGGCTTTCTGCCATTCCAAGCCAAAAATTACCACCGGACATTAAGTGGTGACTCGTGTTGTCCAGAAATAAGAGAAGCACCACTCTCAGGTTTTCTTTTCCTGTGTTCTATGAAATTATGTGTGGTTGAGAAATACATGTTTAAATCCTCATACTTCAGCCTGCATTGCATGTAGCATTTGTCTTTTTGTTGTTAGGACATACAGCAAAGTTCTTGGCTATTGCTAACCCTTTTTCTTGTTTTAAAAGCATCAACAACAGGTGGCCCAGGCTGTCGAACGAGCCAAGCAGGTGACCATGGCCGAGTTGAATGCTATCATCGGGGTACGTGGCCTACCAGGTCTACCTCCTACAGTGTGTATAACCAGCTTTCATTTCTTATTAATTCGATGGCTTAAGATATATATTTATATATATATATAATTTGTGTAATTTAACGTTGACCTATTTGATAAGGGTGAGAGCAGAGGGTTTTGGGGTGTGTTGAGGTGTATAAAGCAAGAGGGCTTAGCATAAGGAAAATGATAGGAAAAACATTTTTGGATGGGAAGAAAAATTACTTTTAAATGGGAAAATAAATGTAGTTTATCATGTGACACCTAAACTAACAGCTTTGCTCCATTAGTCGAGTGAAAGCTTTAGGTCAGAGTTTTAAATACTTTCCTCACTTCTGTCTCACGTTTGATCACAGTAAGGTCAAGGCAGGTCTCTGCATCATCATTTCATTTAGTTGTCTTTGCTTTTGCCTTTTGCTTTCTAGGGTATTTGAACCTGTTCAACTGTGTACTCTTTTTCTTTTGCGGGCTTCTTTTCGTCCATTTTTAAGTGGCACAGCAATGAAAGGAAGGCTCTCTTGCTGAGGAAGAGGTGTTAATTGTCTGCCCTAGTGCTCTCTAGCCTTTTACCAGGTTTTTTGCTCTCCTCCATGGAGTCCAGTCAGTGCTCCTTGCTGGAGACTGCTTGTCAATCACAAGTCATTTGCTCTGCATTAACGAACCCAGTGAACCGTGCCTTCCATCCCCTGCAGGAGTCCATCCCCCATCACTGCTGGACGCAGGACGATTCTCATGTGTTCTGCCCCTCCCAGACTAAGTGAAAGAAGTAGCTGAAACAAGAGACTGTCCTTTCTGATTTTATTCATAAGTGAGTGCCTTGAGCGGATTCAAATCACTCATTTATCAATTTATGTTAATTGCTTGTGAGAAGATGCCCTGCTGGTCTTTATAGTTCCCTCAGACACTTTGTAATGATAATTAGACATGCTGCTGTACGGATTAAGAGTGCCATAGTCCAATGACGGCCACAGACAATGGAACCAGTTAATCCATCAGGGCTTAAAATTACATCCCAACTGGAGATGGAGAAAAAACATAAGAGCCAAGGAGGATTAAAGAATGGAGCCTCAGCTTGAAAACTCTCCTTTCATCAATTTCTCAATTGCAGATCTGCAGTTGGGTTGTCTTTGGTAAGCTATTGGCAGTCAATTAGGTGAAATAAACTGGGAGGGTGACCTTCATTTCCTTTTAATAGCTTTTTCCTCCCTGAAATGGGGAGCTTCAGTGGATTTTCAGCTTAAATTTTATTCAAGCTGCTTTATTACACTTGACAGCTTAGCTCTGCATAAACAATTCTCCCTCCTCTTCCCCCCCCTGATCCAGGCTCTGCCTCTCTCTCCCTTCAGTATCACATTTTTGACTGTTACTTAGTGGGCTCTCTAAAAAACACAATTACATCTGCATTGTCTGCTGCCTTCCGTACCCTTTTCTTGTGTAATGAATTGCTTTATTTCAGAGATCAAATCAAATATTCACTGGTACTTTTGCATGTACTGTGTTTGATTAGCAACGACTAATAGTGAATTGTACTTGTAGCTTGAGCACAGAATTTTTTAACCCAAATGAATGAGGATGGAAAAGCCTTTTTTGATTAAAGGAAAACATATGCAAAGCAGTTCTCAAGTACCCAGTTAAACTTTGTGGGACATGTTTGTTTTCTGATAGACTGTACATTTTTATATATAATTTCTTGATGGCAAAACTCTTGCCTTTAAATCCTCCAGTGAACTGCTCAACTTTCATGAACCTTCTACTTTGGACCTACACCTTAGAAAGGAGGAAATTGTATTAACCAGATGTTTATAGTTAATACCCATTTTGAATTGAATCAGGAAATAAAAATAGCTGGTCATTTTAGAAGGGCAGATGAATCTAATTTTATGAATGGCTTTCTTCCAGGAAAAATGTTGTTGAGATTATAAAGGCAGATTAGTCTGATAGAGTAGCAACCTTTAACCCAAATCGGTGAACTAGGCCCAACACAAGACTTACGCCCACTGCTTGTCTTCAGCATACTGGCATGTGCAGTTTTTATCATTGCAGTTTTTGAATCAGCATATTAATTTACGTCAGAAGGCTCTTTTAAAGTTTGTAGTGATCAATAATTATCTCACACCATAAATTTCATGCTCTGGCATATGTTTGATTTTTGCTTGAAAGGAATTGTGTGTGTCCTGGAAAATCGAAGTAGCATAAAATTGGGTTGACAATTCAGTGGACCTTTGCACCCCTTCATTGAACATGTAGTGTGTCAACCTGTCTCCCCAGAGGGGAGGAGGTACAGGAGACTGTCTGTTCCTACAAGCAGCAGCTGTGCTCAGAGTAAATGCAGCCTGGTGTGATAGCAGCTGTCAGTATTGTTCAGGAACCGACTTAGGGTGCAGAACAATGGGAGAGGCCACGCTCAGTCTGCGTCGACTTTTAGGCTAAGAAATGAAATAGTAATTTAACGGTTTAGATATCTATTACAAGTGTGAAAGATCACAAAAGAGTACCCTTTAAAATGCAAATGAGCTGAAACATTCTTATTCCCGTTAAGGTGCAGTCAAGGAGCTTACTGGTTGCTTGGCAGGGCTAGAGATATTTCTCTTTAGTAAACCTGTAAAGTTAAATCTTCTCAAGGACACCAAACTTCTACGTAAGCTCAAAGTGAGTCCTGGGCCTGTGAGTGTTCTTTTAAGAGGAAGACAGAGGTTGTATTTTTCCCATCTTTGTTGAATGAATTGGTGGTAACCATTTCTCACCAGCATAGGAGTCCCAGTTCTCATATCTGACAGAAAATACTGAATTTTAATTCCTTTCCACCATAGCCCCTTCCTTCGACTTATGTAGAGTGCTGGTGTTTAAGAAAGGTAAGCTTCTTGGATCTTTGATAGTTGGAGAAAGTATTGAAATATTTTTATTAGACCTTTTTTTAAAATAGTTTTGCCTGGTAGCAAATTTGATGATGACCAGCTGAATAATAACTGCAATTTTGCTTTTTGAATTTTTCTTAGACACTTGCTACTCAACATGTTGTATTCTTACAACAATAACAAGGTCAATTAATAATGCAGAGATCTTAGCAGGCACAGTTTATGTGGTTTGACACACAGCTCACTTAGTCATCAGAAAACAAGTTGCATTGTGGAAAGGGAATTTACTGATTTGAAATCTTGAGTTCTTTAGATCAGGATCATCTTCACACTTTGAGCTCCATTCCTTAATTTTTTTTTTTTAATTTGGAATTAAGAGTGAAAATTTGAAAGGAAAACCAAACTTGTTATAAAATGTAACATCTTATTTATGGAATGGCTAATGGCTACCTGAACGCAGGGAAAATTGAAAAACTCCTTAAGACCACTCCCCACTTTAATATTTGGGAAGTTCAGAACTAGAAGCTTTGTTGTACCTCCTCTGATAGATACTAAATAATTGATTTTAGTTGGATTGGCATTCCAAATAATTAATACTCTCTTTTAATCAGGTTTACATAACAAATAATATGTATCTTTACACACATGGATTTGTTTTTTCACTTGATGTATAATTTCAATATAGTGAAATGCACAGATCTTCAATGTACAGCTTAATTATTTTTGAAACCTGCATATACCCAGTAGCCCACATTCCATAGTGCAGGTAGTTTTTATCACCCTGGCATGTTCCCTTATCTTTACCAGTCAATTTTTCTCCATCTACTGAAGAAAGATGGTTGCTTTTTGAGTAAAAAATTTTAAAAAATATGTATGTGTATATTAGTGGAATGTGATTTCCTTTTTTAAAGAAGACAGTCGCTCAGTTTTATATTCTCTTTCCAACCACCTGCTGTCCAGCTTCATGGCGTTTGTGGTAGTCTATATAAAGAGCGTTTGTATTGTGTTACCTTGGACAAAGCATGGGCCTGGGATCAAATGGGCTTGGGTAGGACGCTTGGCTGCCATTTATTAGCTTTGTCATCTCCTACAGTCAGTTAACCCCATCTGTGTCCACATCTGGAGAGGGATGATGCCATCTACCTTCACAGTTTTTGTGGGGATGAGACCGTGGCCGGCAGCCGCCTCCTAGCACATGCACCTGACTCTCTGAACTGCACTTTTGTCTGCACAGTTTCTCTAAGTGCCTGTAGCAGACCCGAGGGTTTGGTTGGTCAAGCCCTTGTAGGGGTGGCTGCTCCGAGCAGCGGGTCACCTCCTTTGTGTTTTCTGGTGGTTACATGGTTGTGGGTGTTTGAGATTAGACCCAGCCAGATGCTCTGCTCCTGCCATGAAGTTGTTGTGCATGAAGGCCTTTTAACAAGGACACAGCAGTGAAAAAGCACTGCCTTTTAGCTTTTGATGAACAAACTTAAGAGTTCAAAACCGAGAGGAAGAAATTAAGTTTTGAGAACAGATGGAGACAGAATTAAGAGCAAAAATCTGAGAAGACTTCAGTGGTTTCCTTACTCAACATAAAGAAGGCAGCAGACAGTGGCTTTACTGACACTGAAAGATTACATTGTGATAAAGATGGAAGGAGAGACAGAGAGTTAGAAGAATGGCCCGATGACCAGTGGGGATTGTCCTTCCCATCCACAAAATGCCAATTTCTGAGGATGGCCTCAGTGCTGACTGTTGGGTATAAGAAAATTTGAGCAGTTTCCTATAGTAATACCTGTGAACTTAAGGAACCCAAGTTAATTTAGGCAACCTTGTTTTCCTTCCTTATTTATTTGGATGTAGCCTAATGTATTTTCCATAAGTATAATTTCTGTCAAGGTTTATGGGGCTTCAGTTATTGGCCAGATTTGTATATGCCTGTTTCATAGTCAAATTTATAGTTCTGTATACTTTAAAGCGACTTTGTATGAAATAAAAGTCTAGGGTATTTTGTAGTGTCTGACTCTGTGTGTTTGTGTTAGGGGATGGCTGTGAATACAGTCTGCTGATGAATCTGCAGAAGGAGCCTTTCTGTCCCTAAGAGATTGAGATGTAGCCCTAAAGGGCTCTCCACTGCACCATGAGATGATTG